AGTGAATGAATGAATGAATGAATGAATGAGTGAGTGAGTGTATGTTTGTGTCCGTGCATGTGTGTGTGTGCACATACACATGTGTATTTGTTTGCTGTGTTTTGATTTTAGAATATATGTGTGGTTTTGCATGCTGCTTCAACATTTCTACTTAGAGGCCTGTTGTCAAACAGATTGAAACTATTACTTAATAATTTTTCTCTAATGGGCTTTTTCAGGTAGAAAAGGTACTTTTTATTTTCATAGAGAGAGAGTTTTTTGCTTTGCCTTGTTTTCCCCCCCAAGATATGTCTCCCTGATTATTATCATTAGTATTATTTTTTTGGCCTTAGTATATCAATATTTTGAAAAGTTTATGAATATATGATTTGCACAAATAAAAGGGAGTGACAATGCAAAGGATTTAAAGTTTTACATTGGGCTGTCTCCTTAAGACCTCTTGATAGCCTCATTGCCTAAGCATATGTTTATACTACAGATAAGAGCATAGAGTTTCACTTTCTTCTGATTTTTCCATAGAGCAGTTGACTCCATGCACACCCCTGACTAAAGTAAACTCTTCTTTGCACATTACTGTTTATTTCTCTGTTAGTTTGAACATTTTTGCAAAATAGATAATTTATTTTGGCATTAGATTTTATATTTCCCTTTTTTATTTACTTTTTTTTTCTTCTTCTTCTTTCTTTTAGGTCACCATTCATCCTATAATGACAATGACTCTGATGATGCAAGTTCAGAGGAAGAATGGAGAGGTGAGTTGTTGTTTTTTATATATTCATGCATGTTTATAGAACTGGATGTTAAACCTACCTGAGAATGTGGATAGACTCGTGTCCAAGATATCGTAGATTTATTCACCTCTTGCTAGAATTATTTGTTTATTTATATATATATCTTTTTTTCTTCTTTTCCTTTTTCATTTGCTTTTGTTTTTTCTTTCTTTGATTTTTCTTATGATAGTAATGGAGGAGGAATATGTTTGTTTTTACACATTTAGTAGGAGTTTCAGATCTGATAACCGTAGATACTTTTGGCCTGATTTCTATTGATACAAATGATGAGAAGTTTGGAAAAGGTTCTGTTATTATATTCCAAGATCTGGAATTGAAATGTAGATTTGACATTTGAAGTATGGAAAAAGAGAGAAAGAGAAGAAAAATGTCTTCCTAAGATACAGTAGACAGAACTACAGAAAACTCATGAAGTTTTTGAATATTTATACCAGAACAAGGTATCAAAATTTTAGCCATATTGTGTTGCATATAATGATTTTTAATGTACCAGTTCCATTGATCAAAAAGAAGCAAAGATTAGAAAAATGCAAACATGTTGGAATATAATTTTTTTTTTGCGCCAAAAAGTCAGTTTTTCTTATACCCAACACCTTTTCCTCTTTGACTCTTCCTTCCTCCTTTATTCCTTCTCTTCCTCTTTCTTCTCATCTTCCTCCACTTTCTTTTGCTTTCTGTTCTCTTCCTCTTTTTTTCGTAGAGTTTTTCTCTCCTCTACACCTTTTGCTTTCTCTTCCTCCTCCTCCTTCTCCCTCCTCCTTGTCCTCCTCTCCCCCCTTTTCTTCTTCCTCCTCTCCCCCCTTTTCCACTTCCTTTTTCTCCTCCTCCTCCTCTTTCCTCATCCGGATCCTCATCCCTCCTCCTCCTCCTCCTCCTCCTCCTCCTCCTCCTCCTCCTCCTCCTCCTCCCTCTCCTCCTCCTCCTCCTCTCCTCTCCTTGCTCTTCTCCCTTCTTCCTCCTCATCCTCATCCTCTCATCCTCATCCCTCTATCCCCATCCCTCCCTTCCTTCTCCTCCTCTTCATCCTTCCTCATCCTCATCCCTCCACCTCCTTCCTCCTCATCCTCATCCTCATCCCTCTTCCTCCTCATCCCTTCTCCAACTCCTCCTCATCCTCATCCTCTTCTTCCTCCTCCTCATCCTTCTCCTTCTTCTCCTTCTCTGTATCTCCCTCCAATATTCTCCTCTGTCTCTTCCTCCTTGTCCTACTTCTCCACCTCTTCTTCCTCCTCATCCTACATCTCCACCTCTTCCTCCTCTTCCCCACTCCCCACCTCCTCCACCTCCCCTTCCTCCTTTTCTTCCTGTACCTCCATCTCCTCCTCCTCCTCCTCCCCCTCCAAATGCCCCTCCTCACCACTTAAAATAAAAATGAAATTGGCTTTTACTCCTTATTACCATGCCTTATGATAATCAATATTTCCAAACACATTTATAGTGATAGAATACCAGAGTTTGTGAAATTGAATCTTCTGCAAATTTAGACATAATTTCTACTTTACTGATTGGCTGAAAGGGAAAATGAGTTTGGCACTTTCACAACAGCTGGTTTATTGTGCAACACCAAAATGGCTTATCTCTGCAAGAGCACATAGATGTGTGGTCTTTGGATGTGAAGCCAGAGTAAAGGTGTAAGCACATGTAACATTTCTTATCCTGCTTGGTATGATCAATATTCAATGCATGAGTTCCATTTGCAAAGTACACAG